GGGGAAAGAAAGAAATGGGGGGAAAGAAAGAAATGGGGGGAAAGAAATAAATGGGAGGAAGAAATAAATAGGGGAAAGAAATGAAAGAAATAGGGGGAAGAGATAAATGGGGGGAAAAGAAATAAATGGAGGGAAAGAAAGAAATGGAGGGAAGAAACATAGAAAAATATTGGGGAAATATAGAAAAAATAGGGAAAATATAGAAAAATAAAGAAAAATATAGAGGAAATATAGAAAAATATAGGGAAAATATAAATGTGTGTATTCAGATCTGTATCTATTGATTTGTATCCACATATATTCCAATAACTCCCTGACAGGAGGGGGGAGCCAGGGGGGGGTTGGTCTCTTTTCCCAGGCAACTCTCAGCAAGACAAGAGGGCTCAGGGTCTTCAGCTGTGCCAGGGGAGGTTTAGGTTGGATTTTAGGAAGAATTTCTTTCCAGAGAGGGTGATCAGCCATTGGAATGGGCTGCCCAGGGATGGGGTGGATTCTCCATCCCTGGAGGTTTTTAAGAAGAGACTGGATGTGGCATCAGTGCCATGGGCTGGGAACCACGGCGGGGTTGGATCAAGGGTTGGACTGGATGATCTCAGAGGTCCCTTCCAACCCAGATGATTCTGTGATTCTCTGATTCTGTGATTCTCTGACCCCACTGGAGGACACGGGGAAGAGCCGGACGCGCCCTCCCAGCCCAGCAATCCCACAAGGAGCAGCATTCCCGGGCTGGGCCGGGTTCCCCTGGAGCTCCCAGGGGTTTCCTCACCCAGCAGACGTTGGTGGCCACCCTGGGCTCGGCACTGAGCCCCTCCATGAGGCACTGCAGCAGCGGGGCCAGGTAGATGTCGTTGATGGCGGCCTCGGGCAGCATCTCACAGATCCTCCCCACCGTCCAGGCCGTCGTGTCCCTCACCACCACACTGGGGTCCTTCATCAGCTCTATCAATGTGGGCATGGCCTGCAACAGCAGCCAGGAGCAGCCAGGTCAGCACATGCAGAATGTAGGGTTTGAATTCCTCCAGCCCACCCAGCGGCCTCCACCCCGTCACCTCCAAACCTTGCTCTGACATCAAACCCCCCTCTCTGAGCAGTTCTACCCTCTGTGCCCTCAGAAGGCAGGAGCAGAGATGCTCTTTAGGAGCAAATGCCCCTCT